CAGAGGTATTAGAGTAAGGCTAGTAGTCTTTCACTGGTGGATAAATTCTGTCAGTGCTACCTCTTAAATATTACTTAAATCCATCCTTTCTGCTGCACGCTGCATACCTTGGTTTTTGCCTATTTCCTGACCTCTAGGATAGTTCCTCTCTAATCAGCCTTCCAAATTGTTGCCAGAGATATAGCTCTAAAATGCAAATTGGGTCATATAACTTTCCCATTCAAAACGATGTAGTAGAAGGCCCAAGCCTCTTTACATGACACATAGACTTGGTCTTGTCCCCCCTATTCAGAATGCCTTCCACCCCCACTCCAATACCACTTCCTTATCAGCTGGGAAAATTCAGGTCATTTCCGCAGACTTCTTTTAAATATTGCCTCTTCTGTCAAGCACTCCTTGACCACACTGTTTTTGGTGACCCACTGCAATGTTGGCTCCATTCCTATTGCAGCCTTTACTCTGTTTATTCCTGGGCATTTGCCACCTGCACTGGGCCAGGGGCTCCCTGAGAAGCCAAGGAACTTGGTTTACTTGGCAGAGGGCTGGGTGAGAGCTCAACAAGCAATGGTCAGATCCCCACAAGGTACCAACTCATTTCCAAGGTGTGGGATCTGAAGGGCCTGTTCCTACCACTTTGGAATCATTACCGGGGGCTCAGGTTCAGCCAATCTGAATGCAGACATGAAATGTGAGAATCTCTAGCTGACTTTATTGAATTAATTGTTTCCTCATCCATCTTCTTGGATGAACAGTAAACTCTATGGGAGTTGGATCAAGTTTTATGAGCCGTTTTATTCCCAGTGCCTATCAGGTACATAGGGAACATTTAAGGAATGAATAAAAGCATGACAACATTTGCCCCAGGATAAGCATTTTTTGCATGCTTCGGTTCAAATTGCAGCTCTGACACTTACCAGATGGGTAACCTTGGGCAAGTCACTTAACCTTTCCACACCTCTGCTTCCCCATCTGCAAAATGGGGATAATAATTAGGTGGTTATGAGGATTAAATGACTTATTATCTGCAAAGCATTTATCTTATTCAATCTTTATGCTGAGGAGATAATCTGAGAAGCTGGACTATATGAAGAACACAGCATCAGAATTGGAGGAAAATGGCATTAACAACCTGCAATGTGCAGATGACACAACTGTGCTTGTGGAAAGCAAAAAGGACTTGAAGCACTTACTGATGAAGATCAAAGACTACAGCCTTCAGTATGGATTGCACCTCAACATAAAGAAAACAAAAATCTTCACAACTGGACTAATAAGGAACATCCTGATAAATGGAGAAAATATTGAAGTTGTCAAGGATTTCATTTTACTTGGAACCACAATTAATGCCCATAGAAGCAGCAGTCAAGAAATCAGATGACGTATTGCATTGGGCAAATCTGCTGCAAAAGACCTCTTTAAAGTTTTGATAAGCAAGGATGTCACTTTGAGGAATAAGGTGCGCCTGACCCAAGCCGTGATATTTTCGATAGCCTCATATGCATGCGAAAGCTGGACAATGAATAAGGAAGA